CAGATAATATCAATATTGGGCAATTTGTCAAATATGATAATTTGGCTCAACTAGGCAAATAATTAGCACATATACTATGAAGCAGCATATGTTCATTTGTCCAGTTTGCCAAATTACTATTATTTGACAAATTTTGCCCAATATTGTATATATATTTATCAATCTTATAATATTTATTTAATTCTAAACTAATACAGTCAACATTCTCTAATCTGAACCTCTCTAATCCAAATACTATTAAATTCTCTCTAATTCTAACAAAAAACTTTAGAATATTTATAAATTTTATTATAGAGTTTGGATTAACTAATATTAACTCTTTGAGAACCGAACTTTTTAACCAATTTTATATATAAGAACAGATAGGTCAGAATAAACAGAGTTGACTATATATCTATTCTATGCCAAAACTAGTGAATTATATTTTATGAAGATTACTATGTATTAATTAAAGATATTTAAAATACAAAACCTCATTTATATTCATAGAGAAAGTTAAATTAGTTTTTATATGTAAGATACTAAGAGAATAAATGCAATATTGATTAAAAAGTAATAAGATTTTATTTTTGATGTGCCTACACCACAGTGCATCTCTCTATATCACGTGATCACTATGATCGATATGATCAATATTAGCTATTATACGATTTATATAAGGTATATAAAAAATTTATTATATGATTTATGATGAAATTATTATACTATTTATTATATATACAAGGAATAATACAATAATTATATCATATTACAAGATGAACTATTTTAAATAAATTATCTAATTGTGGCTACTAATAAAACTATTTAATCTACTCTAACTAATACTAAAACACCCTAACCCTAACTAATAATAAACATAATAAAATTCAAAATACTCTAATCTTAACTAACAGTAAAGTAATGAATCCAAGACTCATCAAGCTATAACAACACCAATTATAGTGACTTTCAATAATAATGATAAAATCACACACTCCAATAATAGTAGTGTCAACTACAAAAGTAATTCACTAATTCACTATTTAATAACAACGATAATGATACTAAAATATTTTCATCACTCCAAAATTGAAGACACCAACAACAAGTGCATTATGTAATAGTAATAAAAAAGCATTAGTAAAAGCAAAAAAATCAATCAAAATCAAATGAAGAAAACATATAAATCTAGTATATCCAAAAAACAGTGAAAAATAGTAATTATAAAGCAGTTCTTAAGATCAATCTACCCTGAAAAATAAAAGTATTAGTAATACATTCACAAAACAAAAGCAGCAACAATGAAAAAAATAAAATCATACGTCCCCGATTTGCAAGTCATATGTTTTACAATCCCAAGAAAGCTCGAAAACACTCTAAAAAACCTAGAAACAAAAAAAAAAGTGTTAGTAACATATTTAAAAGCAAAAAAAAAAACAAGAACAAAGTATATACAAAGTCATACTCTCCAAGATTTCCAAGGCAAGCCTAAAAAAAAATAAACAAATGTTAGTAATGCATTCACAAATCGAAAAAGCAAGACAAAGAACAAATAAAAACATATGCCCCTAATATCAAGACAAGTACTTACAATTTTGACTTACTTAATAATAACACAAATTTCTATTAACTAGGTAAATGCACAGCATTGTATATCTGGAGCAATATATATATATATCGATATATATTTATAATTTTAATACTATATATAATAGATGTGTTATGATTTGGTTGAATGATTTTCACGTGATGTGGTCAAACAGACAAACCTTGCATAACACCCTTTACAGAAAAATATAGAGTCCTCTGCTATGCTCCAGACAATAACAGCTAGCAACATACAATTTGTCAAGACATCAACATGGAACAAAATTATGACACCAATTCTAAACGACGATTCTGAAAATGATGACAATGCCAACTTCAAGTGAAGCTAAAACACTAATACATAAAAAAACTATGACACCAATTCTAAATAACGGCTCTAAAAATGACAATGACATCAACTTCAAGTGAAGAAATGACACCAATTTCAAACAACTACAATACCAACTTTAAGTAAAAAATCTAATACTGATAACACTAATGTCAACAACCTGAAAACTTACAAAGAAAAAATATTAATGACTAGTATAATGCGCTAAAATAAAAAATCAAAAAAATTTAATTAGTTGATCACTATTTATACTCTGTGATCAGGAGTGCATCATGGTGCATAGTGTACCAAATTAAAATTCTCAAAGTAATATGTATGTTTAACTATCAAAAGAAAATTACATTTATATAATTTTAAATGTTAAAAACTTTTAATCTAACTATATAGTTATGATAAACTTAAACCCTCGATTGTAATATTTCTCAAAATTTGTGTCCTTATATGTAATTATTTTCGCTTTTGGCCTTTATTTGTAATTATTTTCATTTTTCAAGTCCTTACATATAAATTCCCTTAAATTTTTTACTTTTAATTGAGTGAAATAAATTGAAATTTTTACTTAAATTGATCAAAATAATATTATTAGTTTTATTTAATTATAAACAATAAGCCTAATACATTTCTCTGAATTTAAGTTAATGGCGAAATTGATACAGTCAAATCATATCTGGGTATTCAATAGAGCAACTGAACAAACTATACTTAGAAATTAAGCTAATGTCTGTAATTTTTAAAATTATAAGAATCTTAATGAAGTCGATAAGAAACTGCTAAAGAAAAAAAAAGAATAAAATAAAACACTACTAAGTAAAAAAATATTACATAATAAATTACGCATAAGTAATTATATATACAATTTAATAATATTATTCTTAAAAAACTTCTAAGACATGATAAGAAATTTATATATATATATGATGTATTAGAATAATAGTTGCAGAATATAAAATAGTATATATAGTATAAAATGTTAGAGACTTAATTAGATGTAGAATTAAACATAAAATATATAGTATTAAACGTTAATTTGACAGAATTAACGTAGATGAAAATATATAAATTAATGAGATCTTGTAAATAAATACTATTAAAAATTAATTTGCTTAATAAATACATGCTTGCTTATCCAACAACAACATTTGGCGGTACTTATTTTGAATTTTTAACTATAAATTCTTTAAATTTCGATTTTTTTTATTTATAAAAATTTGTGATTTTTATTGGCTAATTAACATGTGATTTTTTCACATGACAAAATTTATAGTAAATCATATAAAAAAAATTTTGCTTATAAATTAGCGTTAGGGGTCCTTAAGCCGGGTTAAAAAAAGTTACGTTTTTGATGTTTTTAGAGTTACCTTTTTGATACGGTTAAGGTTAGTAAGTTATTTATATATCAAGAATACAATTTATGCAGTATGTAGATTATTATATGAAATCTGTCCGGACCCACTAAATTAGTAATGGATTGTCATAATTTTTAAATTTGGCGGTGGGTACCCGATATAAATCTGCTTAAAATGATTTTCGACACATTCTATAAATTCTAAAAATGAGATTTCAGCATATTATACGTTCTTTTAGAGAAATTACGTTCCCAACAAAAAAGGAGTGAAGTTTGGTTATATAAGGTATGTATAATATGCATTTGTTATTTGCTTTTCTAATAGGTTATTTTCGTGATCTTTACAATGTCTCATTTGTCTCGTTTGTCTCGCTCGTCTCGTTCATTTTGTTCGTCTCGCTCGTCTCACTCGTCTTGTTCGTCTTGTTCGTCTCGTTCAGCTACTGCTGTCTATATTTATATAAGACATTCTACTACAATGCAAGGAAATATGCTTGAGTAGGATGGATGCTCTTATGGAATTAAAAGGCCTAACATGGATGGATATGGAATGTGTGCATACGGGGTGAGTTTTTCTTATTGATTATTCGTCGAGTTATAGTGTATCCGAAATTACGCTGCCAAATCGGTGCAATGAAATCTGATAAAGAATTGAAAATGCATCGTGGCCAACCATTTTTGATGGTTGAACGTTCTTCTTTATCAGTTACCGGTCTTTCTTAGTACTGGCCCTGTCTGCGTTAGAGAGGATCCTTCTGTATTATATATACTAGAAGGCATGCGTCTGAGAAGTTGGTGAATAGGATACACTCTGGTATTGAAGCATGTAACCGTAGACTATTCCGGCCATGTGACTTTGTCGGTTAATAATGATGACACAAGTACTCATAATTCATCTTTTATTAGTGGGAAAGGGGATAAAGGCATAGACATATTAGGCCAAGTCACGGGTCAGATTGTCCTTCCGATCCAGTGCAAGAATTATTCCAGGAAGGGTTCAGTCGGTAAGTAATTGAATTGTAATATTGTGAGTCATTTTTAAAATTTAACTAAACAATATTTTTTTAGACCGTGATATTATATATGCACATTGTGAAGTGACTCGTAGATGTGCACAAGAATATGGTATCACTGCTGTCAGTATTGTAGTGGCACCTTCTATGGACTCTTTCTCACCCGATACCAAGGAAGCGGCTAGAACAGCTAAGAACATCTTAATCTTCTTGTCGACTGCGAGCCATCTTCCTAATTATGTCCTTGCCGCAGTCGTCAATAATCGAGCTGCGACCCTTGGCCTGTGATGTTCTTGTTATATTATATATACACATTTCTCGAACCCCTTTTTCCTTTCCTTAATACAAATCCACCAAAGTGTGGTATATGGATCACTTAAGCATTGACCTCCACGTGGTGTGGCCTGGATAACCAACCAACAAATGCTTATTTTTACTTTTGCATATGTATATTTTAATAAATCAATTTTAATAAATAAATATAACATATCTACTTATTGATAAATGCTAGTATTGTGATTAATGAAGTATTTTAAATCTCATTTTGTCTAATGATCTGTTTGCGTCAAAAATGATAGTAATGAAATTAATATATTTGATATACAGATCCCCGAAGTCACTTTAAAAACAATTCTAGCAGGATCTAGTAAAATTATAGTGCAAAATATAGTTGATTTAAGTTGATTTATTTAATGTTGCTATGAAGACTAGACAAAAGGAGATTTTTATGCTGGCGTTGTTATTATAAAGCATATGAAGATAGAATCAAAAATATTAGGGCTAAAAATGAAATTGATGACAAGTCTGCAAGAACATCAATATATAATGAAATCAAATCACTTCTACCTGATATTACCGATGTAAATTTGCGTAAGATAACTTTCAGAGCTAAAAGAGTTTATATATTATTTGAAGGGATAGGATTAGATAAAATTAGACAGGTGACTTAGTGCAAGTGCTATTTCGAGTCTAAAAGATAAACAAGTCCAAAATATTATTAATGATTTTTCCAAGTCAACTGTTATGAATGGATAGGAAGTGGCCTCGTTCCAAATTGGAACACACACATAACAAAGCCATCCTGTTCAAATGATATATCAAATACTAAACTAAATATCTACTAAACTGATTTCTTCAGAATCATCTATTTCTGTCGATTCAGAAAAATTAGCAGAAACCAAGAAAGCTTTACCGGAACCGATTCTAGAAGAATCAACTGAGGTAAATGCATAATTTAAAAAGTATCATCAGAGATATCAGAAAGATTCCATCTATAAAAGAAAATACATCTAAGAAATATCATTTACCTTACCCAATGATCTAGAAGAAAAACAAAAACATGTTATCGGATCAATTCTCTGTAATAAGTAAAGCGATCATTTCGACTATTCAGAAACATATCCAGTGTGTAATGAAGAGCATAAAGAAGATGATGTGAAAGGGCATTGGGGTGCTGGCGAAAATCATGGTAAAAAACATATCGTCTCTATTGTTGTAAAAGAACTTTTAGCGAAATCCCCATGGTAAATGTGAAAAAAGAGAATCTAAAAGAAAAACGAAGAGATATTATCAGCAAAGTATTGAAACAGAATCCTGGTATATCTTTGAGTTGTAGTAGTGATTCTGGTGATATATAACAATGTATCACTCCTTATTCATTATGTCCGTCATGTAAGCAAAAACATAAAAAAAATATCGTAGGCCAGTTTGTGAGAGAATTTTATAATATTGAATTATACGGGAGGAATTAATATAATAGTATAAATAATAGATAATTTATAATAGATAAAGATAATAGCCATCAAAAATTGCATTAAAATAAAAAAAAAATTGGAAGCCTACCGACCCCCTTCTTTATTTAATAAAAATCATTTCCAGGACAATATAACATACAAATCAATATAATATACAAATAAAAAATATATTTTTATTATATAATAAAAAAAATACAACAAAAAAAACATATGCTCAAAGAGGCACCCTTAATAGATCATGTTGGTAGGTTTACATTGATCTAACACATTCTGTCGTTGACTGGGATTTATCTAATCGGATTAAATATAGTATAGGTGTCATCTTAATAAATAATCAATTGATTTAAAGTAGGTGTCACCTATACTATATTTTATCCGACCATACTTAACAAGCAACTCCATTTCGGTCATAAGTTCTAAATACTGAATTTGTTTTTTTTAGGTAAATTGTTCTTGTGAATTCCAAGTTTCCATGACATGAATTGATAAGTATACATTATTGGGCAAAAATTTGTGAATAACAAAAATTCTACTGTCACGTGATGATCAACAGTAAGTTGGCAAATAGCGGGCCAATCAGGAAGATCAAAACAAACGTTTGCTTTTTTCAAAATTGCTTATTTCTCGAAAAGTAGCATAAGAAACCACCTTTTGCGCTTTAATTAAAAAAATTCCTTGAGCAAATTTACTAATATTTTTTAACTTTAAACTCTAATATAATCACTAACCCTAACCTTAAGAAATTTTTGTACAATTATGTAATAGTAAAATTTTTGTGGTGCTGCTCATGGATTACTGGTTCCTGGTATTTGTAATTAAACAGATCCTTTTCCTCTGGTTCTGGCAGCCTGGTTGGTGAAATGTCTTCCCAAACACTCATCATTAAATATCCCAAACTACCAATTCAGATGGCCAAGAGAACTTTTTCTCACAGGTTACTGGTCTCCTAGTATTTGCACTTAAACAGATCCTTTTTCCTCTGGCCCTGGTGGCCTGGTTGGTGAAGTGCTTTGCTATATACTTTGGTCTCATTCAGTTTTGCTAGTTCTCTTGATAGTAATCCTTTATGTAGTATTATTAAAGATTTGTGTTATCTCTTTACTCAGGTCTTGTCAAGTGGATGTTTGTCTTTTTAGTCTCTTGTATTAACACAATCATAGAATTTTATTTGTATAACTCATATATGGCACAAATGTTCTACAATCTTCTAATCTAGTTAGTGCCACCAAGATTACAGAAATCCTGTTTTAACTGATAAATGAAAGACAGTAGCTATTATACAAGTAGAATTTTCGAAATTTATTATCAGTAGGTTTTAAACCTTTTATCTAGCCAACATGTTGTTTGAAGATGTGATAACTTATCAACTTTACTAAGTCACTATACTCTACCAAAAGAAAAGTTAAGAAAAAAGAAAATATGAAAGATAAAGAAAAAAATATAAATATATATATAAACTCAAAACTCTTTCTAATGATCCTCTAGACAACAACAACAGAAAACTGAACTACAAAAAAATAATATAGGAATATTCAAAACAGATACTTCTCAGTTCTATTTTAGAGTTATACAGTTATTGACAAAGTCTGAAGACATAAAACATTGAGAAGCAGGCATTTTTTTGGACAGTTTTTCTTGGGGTTAAACTTTGTTATTTATGGTAGACTTTTTAAATTATTTGATATTCAAATCAGAAGAATATTCTAAAAACTGTTTTTATCTTTGTGTAGATTGTTGTCAACGAAGTTTAAGAGACATGATACACTAATGAGCAGGTATAACTTGGACAGTTTTTCTTAGGATCAAGTTTTTTTTGCTAATTTATTGAACAGATTTTCTAAGTAATTTGGCATCTAAACCAGAAGGTCTATTCTAAGAACAAGTAGTAGTCAAAAGACTCTCACTGAGATAGTTGAAGCTTGAAGAATTGGCTGTACAACTGTAAAACTTATAGAAGAACCTTACATACTTTCGTTGTTTCTTCACTTTTTTCAGGGAAAATTTTGTAAAAAAGTAGATAATTTAGCTTACCTTCTCCAAAAGATTGATGTATTGTTTACTTACCAAATCAGTCACATTATTTACTTTTTTATCTGTTACAACAAATACGTAGATATATATAGAACTGAATATATAGATTATATGCTTCGAATATAGCAACTTGGACAAACAATGACTCAAGACTTTCAGTGCGAATTTCTGATCTTTCTGATCTCTCTACAGTGCTGATGTCAAAGAAGCTATTTTTTTTACCTTGTCACAGGATTTTTTTCTTACCTTAGATATGCTATGTATATAAATTAGAGTAGAGACTAGTTTAAATAGTAGTATATAATTTTTATAGAGCCTGACACAGGTTTATAATTTTAGTGCAGATAAAAAATTCTATAGTTAGTTTAGTTTTTTTGTTTTTTTCTTTTTGCCTTCTTTTCTTGTTTGTATTTTTTTTAATATTATCCCTATACTTCTGTGTTTCTTTAAAAATTTTTTCTTTTTCTTTTACTTTTCTATGAGAAAATATCACCAGATTGGCAATACCTTATTATAGGGTGTGGTTGGACAAGCCCTCCAGTTAGAGTATTATTTTATACCTTGTTGGTGCAGTAGGTTGCCTATAAGCACTTGGGTAGCCTTTAGTTATATTGCAGTAGCCATAAGATATCAGAATGGATTTTAGTTTTATTGTTTTAAATCTTTCATGAGATAATACCTTTAATAAATAGTATTACTGACACAATCTTGCCTAAGTGGAAAAAAAATATATATAAATATAAAGAAAGACATTTGGTTTGATATTATTAAAAACTTTATTACATTTTGATATAATTTTAATAACTAACTTAATATAGTTCTCTGTTACAAGCAAAAGTCTCAACTAGTGTAGCAGACTTTTTTAGATGTTCTACAAGATAGCTAGAAAATGTTAAATCTATAATTTAGATAGTTAAATATATATATATATAGTACAATAAGCCTTAACTCTCCAATTATGTAATTTTGTTCACTTTTTTATTTATAGTAATCTTAATGAAATAAACCAGAAGTAGACAGTTATATAATTTAAAATATGAGCAAGTGCTAAATATAAATAATTTTTTTGTCTGGTTAGCTTCAATACTAATAAATTTTATAAAATTTTAGTTTAATATATAGTTTGTATAAGGTAATCTGATTGGTTAAAAAAAGAAAACATATATGTTTACTTTTTTACAATTTCATAATAAATAGACAAACTTTAAAAAACTACTGCTTCATCAATTTAGATTTAAAACTAAATTTAAACCACAAATTTTGTTTTTAAAAACAAGAAGAACTAATCTTGTAAATTAGTTATATGGTTTATATATTTTTAAAAAAGAAGTAGCATTTTTTATAAAGCTATTTTTTATAGAGATTTAAAGCTTCTCATATTATACTTTACTGAAACTTGCAAATTTGCAACTTTAATATTACTTGTAATTAGCTATAAAGCAACTATAAAGTAATTATATAGTTATTTTGTAGTAATTACACTTTATGTTTACTATAAGTTAGCAATATGTCTACTACTACTTACTACTACATTACTACTATTTTACTACTATTTTACTATATTATTACTATAATTTTATTAAAAATAGTTTGAAATTTTTTGTAAAACTACTATTTTACTATATTTTTACTACAATTTTATTAAATTTTTTTTGAAAATTGTAGTAAAAATATAGCAAAATAGTAGTAAAATAGCAGTAATATAGTAGTAAGTAGTAGTAGGTATATTGCTAACTTATAGTAAATATAAAATATAATTACTATAAAGTAACTATATAGTTATTTTATAATTATTTTATAGCTAATTACAAGTAGCATTAAAGTTGCAAATTTGCAAGTTTCAGTAAAGTATATAGGCAGAGTATTACAGAAAAGGGAAAATTAACAAAAAAAGATCTTTAAAAAATTAATTTTTATATTATAAATTTTATAATAAATCATAAGAAATTATAAATTTTAAAGAGCTACACTACAAAATTTTATTAATACAAACTAATTTTGTGATTTAAATAAAATATAATCCTAATCTTATTCTAAATTAATTTATATAAAAAAATTAATTTTAATAAATTTGTTAATTTCTACTCTTTCTGTAGTATCTAGCTTATATGCTTTGATCTAATAAAGATACTAGTAAATAAAGCTTCAGATTTGTATTTATTATTCAAATAATATTAATATTTAGTAAATATTTAAATTAAATTTTAAAATCATTATTTATAAATAATATAAATATTCAAATAATTATTTTATTTGAATAATTTGAATAATTATTTTTGAGAGTGTAGCGTAATTACATTATCATTTCCTAAGTAGCAGGTCTAGAATTCAAATTCTACTAGAAAAGTTTTTAGAAAATAGATTTGTGTACTAATAATATTTATTTGATGATTAGTTAGATATATTACCTGTAGCCTTGATATTATTATTTCAAAATATAAGTTTTTAGAAGATCTAAATTTAAGAAATCAAAATATTTGAAATCTGTTTAGCAAAACCTGAGCAAGAAGGTAGTAAAGATCTTTAATAATACTATAAAAACTGATATTTAAAATCAAGATCTTATAGTAAGAAAAGTTTACCAACCTGGCTATCAAAGTTACACTGAAGTAAAAAGATTTATACTATAGAATTAAAAACTAAGAGAAATAATACCAACAAGCACTTAGAGCCAAGTTACAATAATCCATCTGAGCCAATTAGTTGGATAGTTGGGAAAGATCGATATAAAAATAAGTTAATGCAAGTATTGAGATCAAAACAAATCTTATAAGAATACAGATACTAAAATTATACAAT